GAATATTTTCTTTTTCATTTCGTCGCTTCAAAGTCGCTATTTCATCACTTCACGAAATATAATCGAGTATTTATAATTCATACGCCGATATTCACACTTAAAATACATCTTACACTAAAGTTTCAAGAGAAGATAGCTAACCCCAATGACGACGTGATGTCCAACGAAGATCCGCCTCACTGATAAATACCCTTAATCGCCGCCTATTCAGCGAAAGAACGAGCTCATCATTCTATAATCTATTTATCTCATACCACTCACTCGCGATCCTACGGACTTTCGAGGTTACTACATTGATATGAAAAGTATCCACGTGTCAGTCGCGCAAGGCCTAATGCGAGATACGAAAGAAAAAGATTAGTTATTAGGGATATGTTGTTTTGTTTCATGAAAGAATTGATTTATTGTTACTTCTAAACACGAGCATTTATTTGCTAGTTGTTTCTTCAACTGATATTACCGTTAAAAGTTTAATGTCAATTTTTTTTTTAGAAAGTCAGTATACCTCTGTTCGTTCTATTTCTGAAAACTAAACATTGGAAATTGGAGACTAACAGATATGTGGAGAATGTAGACAAAAATAAAATATAGAGGTAGGAAAAAAGCAGGTACAAGAAATTCTTTTCTCGATGCAGATTCTAGAATGTTCTAGTATTCTGTTCTATTGTATAGTATTTTCTTTCTGTTATATAATGTCCAAATGTTTTTTATTCTACTGTCCAAAAACTGTCTTTTTCGAATTAAGAAAACAATTTCAAATAATTATAAATAATTATTTTCTTTTTTTAAAGCTTGTTCTTGAATGATAATCAATAAACTAACTTGTCATACTGGGATTTTTACTTAAGATTTAAAACTGATGTATTTTTTCAATGAAGAATAATAAATCAGTATCCCAGACAGTTTTACCGATTTTCTTTACGGAGAAAAACTAATACATCAATTGCTTTTTTTGATCCATTTTCAGACATTCTTTTAGGTATTTTTTCCAAGGAATTTAGGAAAATTCCTTGCTTCGATCTTGAATTTACTCTGTTTTTATTCTGACAGAGAAGATGAAAGCAAATTTATTATACGATGTCTAGAATCTGGATTTATTTTGTGCAGAAAGCTAACATTGTAACTGTACTGATCTTTATACGTAAAAATGTGACTAACATATTTGTTATTGATTACGATATTATAATAACGACGAAATTATAGCTTTTCTAATCTGAAATTTTTATTAGATATCTTAAGATTCGAAGAGTAGTTTTGTAATGATACTTCTGTGATATCCTGTATACTATGATATGACTTTGGAGTATCGTGGCATCGTAATGACACATTTTACCTTCTAAGAATGCATGCACTTCTTTGAGTGCGGATCTTCTGGAAGTGCCTCGCCTTCATTTCTTCCTGCTTCGACAGCCACTCTCGCTGCTGAGTTGCATTATGTTGCGCGCATTATGTACATCGTCCTCGTCGTGCAATTTCGAAGAGATCGGATGCATACACACTCGAATACGAATACTAACGGAATCTTGCTTTTCAATGACGCTCTTATACTCGAAGTCTTATCGCTTATATTGAATTTCAAAAATGTGCTCGTCTTTGTGAACCATCTTTTCGATATTAATATTGAACTTTAATATTAATTTCATGCTAATTATCTCTACGAATTCAACATTTTGCAATTGAAATTATCTGACAATGAATGATAACATTTAATTTTTAATTATCATTTTCATTGTTTAGAAGTGTTCCGTCTTTAATATGAAATAACATGTAAATAGACGTTGAAAGGTTGTAAAAAAAGGTTGTAAAATAAAAATAAAGTTTAAATTTGTAGAGAGAGAGGGGGGGGGGGATAAAAAGTTAAGAATACATTCTTGATTCACAGTTTAAATATGCCACGTTATTTATTTGATGATTGTATTATTATAATGTATTTAGGCTGACGATAAAAAAAAGAACTTTATTTATCAGGCTAGTTTTAGCAGAAAGAGAGAATTATTAGTTTAAAAGTTAGTTACCACAAGAATTGTTAAAAGCATTCTATTTTTCTGACAAAAATTAAGTCACAGTACGATCCGCTAGACTTCAAGGTAGTCTGGTTCAATTAAGTCAATCAAGTCAAGTCACTTTAAAACCGACGACCTATGCTATTTGTAGATATCCGTGACCTCGAAAAAATTTCACGACACTAGATAATGAAGTTTACATTGTGCGAGCGAGCAAGGATTAATAACGCGATTGCGCGTAATTGCGTTTCGGCGTCGCGATATTAAATATGATGCAGTCAGCAAAAGGCGAATATAGATAAGTCTCTACGTTTACACAACTGCGATAACATGCGCTCTTAAATGCATTTTAACAAACGATTTCGCAAATGTCGAAGTGCAAACGTGAAATGAATTGCACATGTTACATCTATGACGCGTTCTTTGAAGATGAATGACTAGAGGAATGAAAAAAGTATGACTTCGAAATTTGTAGTATTATTTGCTTTATTATATAAATATTTTATTACATCTTGTACAAGAAAGCTATATTATAGCATTACCTTACTATTATTATACGCACTTACAAAAGGAATTAGTAATCTGTCTTGAGGTTAAGATCAAGTAGCTTGAGAATATACATTAGAAAATACCTGTTTGGTTATTTTCTGTCTGACTTTTTGTAACGCAATAATGCGCAACCTTTCTTTAAAAGTTATTTAGTTATTCTTAGAAACACATAGTCTTGCCGGTCGCGTAATGTTTTATTTGTATAAAATACAAAACATAATTTTATATCTTCAACAATGAGCTGACAGATCACACAGTGTCACTACTTTAAACATTGCTCTCATATTTTTATTACACACTTAATGAGTTACACACCAGCTTTTATCTGTCCGGTATTTTAATCGACCTTACAGATACGACTAATAGTATCGGTCAAGCATTCAAAACAGTTTCCGTCATCAGTCAGATGTTATCGTTTCCATTTCTCGTCTGGAGATCATATACCTGCGTGTACGTCAATAGCGGTTTTTTCAGGACGGTGTGCCAGAGTGCACCGCACTCGCGCGCACTAAGATAAAAGGGACAAGAGAAAGAGTGGCACGAGAGAACAGAAGTGAGGGAGAAGGATAGAGAGAAGTGAAGATACGCGCGGACGTATTTATCGCGCGCGTGCATTGTAAGGTCCGCCGACCGAGCGTGCAGATAAACACGCGCGTTGCGCACGTAACAGTATAAATAACTTGCGCAAGCGTTAATGAATGCTCTTATCTTACCCCCGCTCTTCTCTGCCCCCTTGAAGAGTCGCGAGATAGATATACTAGCCAGACGCTGCGTTTTATTATCTCCGTCGATGCGCATTGCGTTTATGCGGGATGAGCGAATTTCTTGCTTGCGCGAGAAGGCAAAGAGATAAAAGTTACGCATATCCTAGAGCGAGTTCTGTGAAAGACGGTGCGCGAATAACATAAATAAAACGTTGTAGATAAACGCTAGGATGATATGATAACAATAAGTGTATAATGTCAGTTTTTGCGCATAATTATTAGTGGCATAGAACATATCTCTTATTTCTACATTTAGACAAAAAGATATAATGATGGCAATTATAAAAGACTATGTAAGTTTTATATGTAGAATCAATATCTACACACATATACACACATATAAAAAAATAGATACATAACTAGACAAGTTTTACATTAAAATTAAAACACACACACACACACACACACACACACACAGATATATATAATGGTACGATTTTATTAATTTAGTTAAAATATAAAATAGTTTATTTTGTAGTTATTGCAAGTATAAAATTGTTTATTCAACTGTATTAATTCTTACATATAAAACTTGTATAATTACCTACCACAATGTTTTTCTCTAAATATAATATGAACTTATAAAATCAGAATAAATTGTGCGTAAATTGATTAAATTTTATGTAAATTACTCTTATAAATTGTCTTCATTGTGTAAAAGTTCGAGAAACGATATATGTAGAGGACTGTGAAAATCTATGTCTCGTAAAGTGTAAAAAGAAAACGCGATGTAACTGGAGAACGCAGAGATCCGACAATTGATTTTGCCTCGAGTAACGGTAACAGCTGACAGAGCTCGTTGCCCCTGGGGAGACGGGGAATCGCAGCCCCCGTATTTCTCTTTTCCCCTCGCGTTACGCCATTTGCGATTTCCGCCGAGCTTTGCGAACGGAGGCCGTAGGGCAGAGATAAATCGATAAAGAACGCGAATGCGGGGGAGCATGAGAGCGACCGTGGAGGAGTTCCTTTATAGCCATATAAATTACGCGCGTATAAATTATGTCTATCGTTCAAGCATCGTTACAGAGCACATTGTATAAAGACGTTCGCGCTTCTGACGTTACTCTTCTCTTTTGAAGATATTAAAATAAAAATACATGCAGTGGAACGATTAATTAATCGAAATGACTAATTTCTATCTATAGACAAAGAAGAGATGGAGAAAATTTAATTAACCAAGACGTCCATTTGTAAAACTTATTACAGTAAAAAGTAATTATAAATAGCTGTATATTTTTATTGACTTGTAACTAAGAATTAATTATTATGTACACGTCATAGCTAAGATTACGAACCGTTAAAGCTATCTAATACTATTAGAAATTTACACAAAAAAATTAAACTTTAATAAATATCTGAATAATTCTAAATATTTACTAGTTGTAAACATATATTTATTTAATACGAAAGCATAAATTTAAACTATCATTTTTTATTGAGTAAATATTTATTTATTGTAAGTAGATATTTACTTAGTACTATTCAAAGAAATATGTATTAAGATTTAGTAAATTTTTTTCAGTATATTAAATAAAGTTGCATTTGTAGAATGCCATTCGTCTTTTAATTGTTAAATCCGTTCTTAATCGTCAATGACTTTGTAAGCCGCGAGCCAATTTGTATGCACCGATTCACATAATAATTGCGCATATAGACTGAATTTTCGTTTGCTTGTTTGTTACAGGGAACGTCGTGAAGTGGAAGCACGCGAGATGGAGAAGGTCAAAATGGAACAGGAAAGGCTTGAGAAACAAAGGGCCGAACAGGCGGTTCATAAGCACTTTGCGGAATCATTTAGGCTGGCACAAAAGGTATATCATTCTTTACCCGTTTCATTTTTACCTGACACATTCCTTCGTATCTTACCTCTGAGATGCATTAGGTTTATTTTGTTTTCGATCTGTTTACGATTTCTTATTTTAATGTTTTTCTTTCCGATTGATTCAGAAGTTAAAGAACTTGAACCATTTGGACTGTAAATAAGGAGACAATTTTATCAATTGCTAAGAGTGTTAAAAAGAAAAAAATAGCTTAAGTCATAAGGCACAGATATAATATTAACAGATATATTATTTACTAAACTTTTACTAAATAAAAAGTAGTCATTTATTAGAGATAAAAGCGATCTTTTGATGATATAAATATTTGCATTCGTGCACAGAAAGCTTTTGTCTATAGTATCCGGAAATATTCGGATTCTATAATTTTTGATAGCTAATTATCTAGTTAATTATTGATATCTTATTATTCTTCTTATTTTCGAGACTGAAGACAGCATTTCTCGTTCTAATAACGTCTAACAAGTTGATAACAAGAAAGTTTTAATTTTTTTTCGAGGAAGGCTGTACTTTGTGATAAAATCGTTATTTCGCAGTCTTATACCTATATAAATGGAGAAATGAGGTTCGTTGCAAAGAAATTTGATTTGAACAAAAATTTTCAAAGAAATCACGAAAATTCGACAAGGAATGTTATTCATTAATCATACTATTAATGAGTAAAAATTGTAAGAAAATTAAAAAGATATTTAGCTTTGCTTTCTTCTTTTTTTTTTTTGAAAGAAAAATTCCTAGATAGAATAAAAATTTGAAAACAAAAGAAGAAAATAGTCCATAAAAGTATTGTTTTTACATAAAATCATTCGATATCAATCTGTAACAATTAATATTAATAGCTTATTCTTTTTTTTTTATTTTTGATAAAATTAATCCGCTTGAAATAAATTTGTTTTTGTATTGTAAAAAGCAATGGAGATATTTAATTACAAAATTGTTAGATTATTTTTGTGCGAAAGAATATACAGTAGTGTAATTTTTCTAATTTTTAAAGTAACTTCTGTGAATGTAATAAGCGTATGTTATAAATTTTGAAAAAAAATCTATCTCACTTTACAATGCAATTTTTTTGCGACTTTACACAAGTTATAATTATCGAGATGCTTCGATGCACCATAATACATCAGTGAGTGTAATAACTATTGTGAAAGGCTGGTAAGCAAAAAAAGACAGAGAAAACACTTCTTTTGTCAAGTATAGAGGGACGTTCATACATCTCTTAGGACTGAGTTTGAGACCTGATCTTCATTCTTATACAGTCCTACAAAGTATAATCTTGTAGTCCAGTCTTGTACTACAGTCAGTTTTGTGATAACTTTATTCCTAAAACAATTATAAAAAAACTTTTCATTCATAACTACCGTTTATAAACTCAAAGTTTAATTAGTATGTTTAATTGTTGATGCGCGGAACTGTGAACTAAATGTACAAACAATATTAAAACAAATTTGATGAAAATGAGTTTTATGGTGGACTAATATCGCGGTGAATAAAAAATAAAGGCATCATTCAGATATTTGGGACCGGAGCAGTCTTTTCACTGTGTGTATTAAAAGGAAATTGCACAATTATTAAATTCAAATAATGGTAAAATATCTTCCACATGAGGTAAAATAATTATTTTTAATATAATTTGGTTGTGCAGTGAATTTATTTTTACATTCACCGATTTATATCCACTTATTGTAGGTGTCGTAGAAAATTAGCAAATGAAAAAGTTCAATTTTATTTAATTTAAATGGCCAGCGCGCGAAACGCTTCGTTCTAGAGTATAATTTTCTCGAATGCAATCCACGTATCCGCGATATCAGAATATTTGCATCAGGGTCAGCGGACAGGTTTGCAATGCTTCGGCGCATCGGTGCATTGTCCGATAAGCGCGATTAACGCGTTTCCGAGCACAATAGCGCGGATTGATTTCGCGCGCGGCTCCATCGTCGACCTTGGCATCTCGCCAAGCCACCGTCGGCGAACCGTGACACGCGTTTAGCACATCCGAGATTGGCTAACGATTTCACTGAAAACCGCGTGGCACGAACGCGAGCGTGAAATTTCAACGAGGTACTCGCGCTTTGTTATAGCTTCTCGTTAGCTGTTGCTCGTTGCTGCAATTGTTTTTCACCGTCTAGGTGAATTATGTGTATGATGAACTCGATATAAATATTTCAAAAATTTTTCTTTTCCTTGTTTGACTCACGTGATGATATTCAATAAAGAAGGTTAAATAAACTTTTACTTTAACGCGAATCTTCCTACGTTTATTTCTAAAGAAAAATGTGCAACGTGATTGAGACATTATATATATAAATTCGAAATAGATTGAAATGAACTTTGTAGGTACTAAAAAAGAAGAGCAGCATAATAAAACGGTAATACAAACGATCCTGCAAATGCGGTGTATCGACAATTTTGGTACGCAGAATATATACTGAGTAATTAATGATAAGAGTAATTGCCTGGAAAACGAAAAGATATGATTTAATTATATGCATCTTCAGTTCTTTTCTATAAGAAATTTTTTCTTGGGCAGGAAGAAAAGTAGAAATATTATAAATAGAATCATAAATTAGATATTTTTATTTATGTATTTGCATTCAATTAAAAAAATTGTAAATTTCTTCGGAATTGATTTATCGTTACATCGCATGACAAATAGTTGTCTTCTTTCAGTCGGAAAGATGCAGATGAGAAATGATTCTATTCAATTTTTGTTAACATTCAAAACTATTTACAACAGTAGGATTTCTTTACGCTGTATCTAGAAACGATTGATTTTTTTTTAAATGAAAGATGAATGGACAAGACAATAGAAGGCTAAGACATTTTAAAGATAATCATTTAAATTGGAAACTTATATATTCATAAATATTTGTATTTTTTCATAGAAGTCCACAAATATCAGTAATCTATAACAAAATCTGAATATGGTATCTGAATATGGAATTAATTATATACCACAAACTGCTGTCTCATCAAGATTATAAATAACGATTTAGTTTCTGCATCAGGCGATAGTACGGAAAATTTTTTACACTTGGGAAATGTGACGTTTAAGCTTATTAATTGCTTGCATACAACGTATGTATTGTACATGCTATACTTTATCACTTGAATGGTTTTCCATTTTGCAAATAACTTGAGAAAGGCCGATGCTATTAACGTGACCGACTGATATTAATTATATTGTGTAATTAAAATGGTGTAATTATACACTCCGGCAATGCGACCCAATTAGATAGTTCTATTTTGCAATTTTTATCTTTCTCTTAATTTTACTGAAGAATCATTTTACAAAAAAATTATGTATATTCTTTTGAATAACTTCGAGGTCAGTGGGTAAGCTTCACGGTAAAAATACCGCGATTATTGTTAACAGCGAAGCAATTGATTATGCAGAACGGAAATACGTTTTCGTTGGTGAATGACAAACTAACGTTGTTGAATCGGGTGAGGAAAGGAGGTCACCATCGATAGTGATACACAAAGAAGCTACGCGTAAAGTTACGTGCCAATTGTCATCATCGGTGAATCAAAAACTTTCACGCCGCTTGTCCGGGCAAAATGGTTCGTTCCCATCTCTTCCCTCTTTCCTCTTTCATCTTCTTTTTTTTCTATTCCTGACACGAATACACGCTCATACATACATACATACATACATACGTGCGTGCGAACGTTCCGCGAGTGGCATTTGCAATGCAAAACTCCTCGGCACGAAGGTCATTAATTATGCACTCCGTGCGACAGCGGTGTGCAACAATAGAGTCGCCGAGGCACGCACTCCAGCGTGCACGATCATCGGCCCGGGTAGATTTTCCTCGCTATATATATTTTCACGACGGATGATCCTTTGCATCGAGTTGCTCGAGGACTCGCTTTTGCAGCGAGGAATTTGTTGAACAATGGCTCTTCACCGGTCTCTTTCTCAGAGACGGATTAAAGGAAACGCTGAATTGTAGGATTGTCGTTTTGTTACTTGCGATTTTTAAAATGCGTCTCTTTCTTTCCCTTTAATCCCAAGAATGTATAAACCTTACCGAGACAGGTACAAAGAATTCGATGCGAAGAGCATTCCCGCAGAATTATCAGATGCGGATACACGTAGCGGATATTTTATAGTAATTGAGGTTGTAAGGCTATTTCACCCACGTAATTATAATATATTAATTATTTTGCGGGCGTACATATTCAAATGTAATTTCTTAATTATAGGGTAATTTTTTACAGGGAAATATGAAATAGCCATGATATTTTTAGTACCTCGACGGGCCTCAAAATAAATTCGTGTTTTATATAAATTCTCGCGTGAAGTTAAACGCCTGGGAATAGAGAATTTTATGTGCATTTTGGTATAATTTAACTACGATTTTATTATAGATCTCTGCATATACTCTAAGCTTTCTCGTATTATACATATATTTTTTTAAGTCAAGATTTTGATGTAGACACGGAAAAACTTTTTATTAAAATAAAAAATTTAGTCACATTCAGAAAAATTTCTGGTTGCACGGGAAAGACAATTTTGCTGAAATATATCTAAAATTTTAGCTACATATATACAGATTTGAAAATAATTTTATTAAATAATTATGTAGAACGTTCAAAATAATTATTAAAGTGTCAATACATTTTATGTAACATTCTTCATGCTTGAGTTTTCTAAGTCATTATTTTGATAACCCAACAAAATTATTTTCAGATCTATATATAGTTAAACTTTTAGATAACTTCAGCAAAATTGTTCTTTTCGTGTGAAAAATGGACAATTCAGAAAATTCTGATTATTACCTTAACTAAAATTATAATAGACTCAATCAGAAAATTTTGATTTATCCATTTTTTGCCTTAATTTCAATTAGTGTTCAATTAGACTCAATGTAAATACAGATTTAAAAATAATTATGTCGAACTATCAAAATAAATATGTAGAACATTCAACTGATTGATAGAATATAAGGTAGAATGTCAAAACTTTTCGC